TTTCCATGTATGTGAAAAGTATGTGTCTTTCATAGTTTGGGATGTGATGCTCTATAAATTATAATTAGTTCAAGCTGTTGGTAACATTTAAATTTTCTATATCTTATTGATTTATGTGTGTGCGTATTTTTGCTATCAACTACAACGAGAAATGTCTTAAAAATATTTGACTGATTGGAGATTTGCCTTTTTCTCCTTTTAGTTTTTCAGGTCTTGCTCCATTTGTGTTTTTTGGAGCTCTGTACACACACGTTGTGATGATTACACACATATCACCTTGGCTAGGCCGAACCGCATTTCCCAGAATCTCTTTCTCCTATGTTTCCAGTTAGGGTGGGTTGCAAGGGAGATTCTTGTGAGATATGGGAAGTGAAAAGAAGGCATGAAGACTAGCCACTGCTTCTCTGCTACCTGGGATTGATCTCTGTGATATTAGTAGAAGTAGAACAAGTTTAGTTAGATTGAGTTTTCTTCTGTTTTAAAAGACTTTAAACCTCTCTGTCTCAGAAATCTCTGATCCAGTACCATCAAACAGCTGGACAATATCTCCAGGACTAGGCACGGAGCATGGTGCACAATAGATGCTCAGTAAACACAAAGACAGTCTGTACGGCATATGGTAAAATGCCAGAACCAGAATCCCTGCATTTCCACCATACCTCCACTGCTACTGAGCTCTTCTGACCCAGTCCATGGCTTAGCCTTAATTGTCTCATCTGGAAAATTGGATCATCGGGGCTGGAGTTGTGGCCCAGTGGCAGAGTGCCTGCCTCACACACGTGAGGCACTGGGTTCGATCCTCAACACCACATAAAAATAAGTAAATATAATAAAGCTATTTTTTTAAAAAATTCAAATAGTAAAAGAATCAATACAATAAAAAAAAGAAAATTGGGTCATAATAGCACTTACTCTACAGGGCTATTGGGTTGATTGAATAAATACAGTAAGTTTCACAAAAGTGAAGCCCAAACAGTTCTGGATCTTTCTCATAACCACACACCTTTTCTTCTTCCATGCAAGGAAAGAGTTGCGGGTGAGCAGAGAGTGGAGGAAAATAATGACAAAGGTGTCAAAAATCTTCAGTCCTTGCCTATCTCCTCTCCTGGGTTGGCTGAGCACCTCTGGAGACCCTATGTTTGCTGGAGGAGTTTCCCAGATGTCCTGTTTGGATTCACAACTCTGTCACTTCTTTGGCCGCTTCCTCCTTTCCTTAAGACCCTAAACCACAGGAGCAAGGTCCAAATGCTGGGAAGACGAAAGCTGTGCCTGCCAAGAGCAAGCGCTCCCTCTCCACCTCCTCCTCCCTGCTCCAGTGGCTCCTGGGAGGATGCCCCAAAGATGCCTTCAGACAGGAACAGGCCACGCTCTCTGTTGAAAGCAGTTCCCAGCCCCCAGCCGAGGGTGGCTTTGTCTCCCGCTTCCTTGCCTGTTAAGCACACGACAGCACATGGACTCATTGCTAGGAAATGAGGCCCCCAAGAATGTATTTCAACAGGACCTGCAAGATGGTTCCAAGAAGGGAGCTGGCCAGGAGTGGGATCCGTGCCCAGGGCTTGGGGTGCAGGACAGAGCTACATTGTCCAGGACTCTTCCTGAGGCAGAGGCACCAAGCCCAGCCCTGACTTCCAGAGATACCGAGAAGTCAGAGCCTGGGTCTCAGGGTCACAGAGCCCGATCCCTCCTCTCTGGGTGGAAGATTCAGGAAGCACACATCTGTCACTCCAGCTCCTGTTCTGGAGTCCGTCCTTCTCAGAGAGGCTTTGGATTGGAAGGCCACAGTCTTCCCCTCCTGGCCCCTGTTCTAAGGAGGCTGGGTACCAAGTCATCTCTGAATGGAGCGTGGGAAGGGAGGAGCACAAGCGTCCAGAATCACCTCCTGCTCTGCTCTTCAGAAACCCAACAGTCCCCTGCACCCTGCCCACCACTGGGCGCTTCCTGTTACTGTTTACAGGTGAATCAAACCCAACCTGAGTGTGCTACGCTTCCCAACGTCCACTGACGGCTGTTCATCAGCAGGCTGCTGCACCCCATCCCTGTGTGGAAGAAAGGGCAGACGAGCCGCCGCCCAGCTCTGCACGGTGAGACATGGGACTTGCCCAGACCCAGGAGGCAGAGCATGGCTGCAAGCTGCCTGGCAATGACTGGGTAGAGACCCCTACTGCTCGACAACAAGAAACCAGAGGCCCTGGCCTGCAAGCACAGTGTCAGAGTCATCCTCGTGCCCCTGCCCCCAGATGACCTTGACACTGAACCCAGTGGAAGGAGACCTCAGGGGTGATGGAAGCTGCCTTGCTTTAAAGGACTGTGCACTTCTCTCGCAGCCAGGGTCTAGAAGGGCCTAGAAGAGCAGAGGAGGGATGTGAAATAACTGTGCAGAAGTACTTCTGATGAGAAGGTTGCTGAGGACTCTTCTAGGACTCAAGTGTTTTCTGGAACCTGCAGGTCCTCAGTCTGCACCAGGTTTACGTCTGTTCATCAGTTCACACAACGGAGGGAACCTGGTCTGGCATTTTAATTGGTGGCCCGAGGTGACCCTTCCCAAGTGGAAGTCGTACTTCTCTGGTGTTGGGTCACCGTGCTGACCAGGCATGCCCCCGAGTGACTAGATTAGCAGCCATGTCAACAGACCTCTGCAAATCAGACAGCGGGCCAAGCTCTGGGTCCCAAGCTGGGGACATAAAGTCCCCAAGGAATTATAGAGATCAAAAGTAGCCCAGAGTGTGTGTTCCAAGTGCCAGAGCTGGGGACAGGTGCAGACAGTTGGAAGTGGAGGCAGAAGACGGGGAAGGCTGGCTGGGGCACAGGTCCTGGTTGGCTGGTTTCTAGCAGGGAGACTTGCGGCTGGCCCCGGGGCAGGTGTTTGGGGCACTTTTCTTTCTTCACAGGAATGTGCCCTGAAATGGGTACCCAGAGCCACAGGCTCATTAGCATTTGTCACAAGTCATGCCCTTTAATTAGAGACAGGATCTTGAGGCGGGGTGGGGGGGATTTTGAGGTTCTCGGAGCTTCTCACAGGCCTAGAATAAGGCCCTGGGCGCCAGGCCCCCCCCTGATGGTGAGCTGCAGTCCACCCACCTGTCCTGAGTCGGCACTCCATCCCCTCCTGGGCAAGGACCCTCAGAAGTGAGCTCCAGGCCCCATTCCCTGCCCACAGGCTCAGGCCTCGTGGTCTTATGGAGAGGGCAGCTCTCAGCAGGCAAAGCCTGAGCCTCCCTGGAGTAAAGGAGGCTGAGCCCTGAGTCCAGAAGTAACTAAGGGGCCCCAAAAGCGCCCTCTACCGCCAGGTGGGGCTGCCAAGGAGCCAGCAGAAACAAATGAGTCCCCGAGAAACAAATGAGCGGTTTCCAGAGAGAGAGGAAGAAGGAGGCCTGGCAGGGTGGTGCCTGCCTGTCATCCCTGTGGCCTGGGAGGCTGAGGCAGGAGGATTGAGGGTTCAAAGCTAGCCTCAACAACTTAGCAAGGGCCTGAGCAACTGAGTGAAACTTAGTGAGACCCTGTCTCAAAATTTTTAAAAAATGTATAAAAAGGGTTGGGATGTGGTTCCGTGGTTAAGCACCCCTAGGCTCAATCCCTATTACCAAAAAAAAAAAAAAGGGAATGAAGACAGAAGGAGACAGAGGCCGTAGGGCACAGTGGTCAGGAATGAAGTCCCTGGAGCCAAGTGTGGAAGTTTAGTTTCTATTTCTGTGTCACTAGCCCGTGACCTTGAAAACAGATCATGAGGGTGGATTTGATTCTTAGGGTCCTTGGCCATCTGTAGAATGGGGACAAACAATCATACCAGCCTCTCAGAGGCAACTGGAGAAATAAAGGAGCCAATCATGCAAAATGCCTGGAACAACACCCAGCAGGCAGTAAGCGCTGGAATGTTTTTGAATGTTGGCTCCTCTTATTAAACACCTTCCTGCAATGGCTACAGGCAGAGCTTACAGCAGCCTCTAATTTGAAAATGCATTTGCATAGCAAGCCAACTTTTGTTTCTTTTCCAATGTTTTCTTCATACCATAAGAGGATCATGAAAATATTTCCTTCATAGGTTTTTATGGGGATTAAATGAAATGATACATTTAATGTACTTAGAACCATGACTGTGGCTTAGTAAGCACTCCATATATGCTAGCTGTTTACTGCCAGTGGCTTAAGAGTGTTAGGGATGATAATGGGCGGTGTAGAGTAGGGGCACCATCATGCCCCCCCGCCCCCCGTAGCCAAGAAGCCTCTTGTTTGGAGGCTCTGTTCTGTTCCATGGCTAACAAGTTGACCCTGCTATGGTGGAAGATAGGCTTTTGGATCTAAGAAATTCCAGGTATCAGACCTGGGCCAGATGGCCAAGGACACTTCCCACATCTCTCCCCCTGGAGATGTTCATCGCTCTAAAGAAGGGGCACCAGAGCCCAGAGCCATGGTGCATGCCTGTAATCCCAGCAGCTCGGGAGGCTGAGACAGGAGGATGGCAAGTTCAAAGCCAGCCTCAGCAAAAACGAGGCACTAAGCAACTCAGTGAGACCCTGCCTCTAAATAAAATACAAAATAGGGCTGGGGATGTGGCTCAGTGGTTGAATGCCCCTGAGTTTAATCCCCAGTACCAAAATAAAAAACAAAGAATGGGCAGCAGGACCTCCAGCAGGCCCTTTCAGCCTCAGGACTCTGGATGCAAGCACCTGAGCTCCTTGTCAGGACCGACACCATCCAGTCCACCTGGGTGTCCAGGGATCATGGCTGGGGAGAGACACGGGTACGGAATGTCAATCAAACAAGCCCCAAACGCCTCTCGCACTCTGCAGGGCTGTGGAGCACACACTGGCTCTCACTGCTGGCCTGCTGCTGGCCTGACCCTGACCCCATGAGAAGGGGACCCAGAGGGTCAGGACCTGGAGACGCTGGGAGGATTCACCTCGTGATGGTTCAGAGTCGTGCTGCCCCTGAACAATAACACCAAGGCAGGGCCAAGCTTGTCCCACCCGCCCTCTACCCCACCCCTGGCTTAGGACGTTTACCTCGTGGATCCCAAAGTGGGCGTAGGAGTCAAAATAATAATCTCGCGACGTCATCTCCTCCGGGTTCAGCAGCTTGGACATCTTGCCCCGTCCCGGGCAGCTGGGTTGAGTGGACACATGATGGACACATTGTACAGGCTTGGGTGGGACGACGGGCTGTGGGGGCTGGGAGGGGGGACTGCTCACCTGAGGAGGAGAGAAGGAGAGCCGGGGTTAACAGGTCCTGCCCTGGCATCTTCCACTCCGCCTCCTGTCCCCTCCCCGAGCCCTCTCCAGTCCTCCTCGGCAGGCCTTCTGCAGGTTCTGCAGGGCTGAGGACCTCTCCCAGCTCCCCGGCAGTCAGATTGATGGCTGTGACTCACAGAGAGGTGGCAGGCTACTGATACGTCAGATGACCTGGACTGAGCCCAGGTCCAGCTCTTGCTAGCTAGGTGACCTGAGCTGATCTAGGCCTTAGTTCCCAGATCTGCGAAATGGGGAGAACAAAACTTCCTTTAGCTGTGAGTAGGAAACTCTCAATAAAGGGAAAGACAGCTGCAGAGCACAGAGTGGTGCCTGAGAATGAGGATTGCAGAGCAAAGCTGAGGTTGCTTGGCCCCCGGTTTTTTTTTCCCTTGGTTGTTTTGGTTTGGTTTTGTTTTTTCCTTTGGGGTTCCTTTTTTTTGGGGGTTTCTTTTCCGTTTTGGCCTTTTGGGGGAAATTGGATTTTGAAGGGGTGGTGGCGTCTTGGGGGTTGCTTGGTTCCTTGGGGGTTTTCTTTGGGGGGATTGGCCTAGCTCTCTAGTGGGACCCTGCTTCATTCTCAAGAGGGTCCTTATAAAAGAACAAGAATGGCCCTTCTCTGTTTTTCTGCTTCCTGTCTCATTAGGTGATCTCTCCGTCTTGCTCACACTCCCACCATTGTGATGCCACCCGCCATGAGGCCCTCACTAGAGCCCAGTAGAAGCTAGTGCCACACTCTTGAGCCTCCAGAATTGTATACCAAATAAACCTCTTTTCTTTACATAACACCCAGCCTCAGGTATTTTGTTACAACACTACAAAACTGACTGCTATTTGTTGACCCTGTGGTCCTGAAAGTCATTTGTTACCATTATGACTCCATTTGTTCCTCAGTAAAATACAAATCATAATAAAGCATGCCTGTAAGAACTGTCAAGGCCATTTGGATGAGTTTGTAGACATAAAGACTTTGTACACTTCCTGGAATGTAGGGAGTGCTTATTTATTTCTACTATTAGTATTATTCTGATCACATAAATTATGTCTCCACTTATGTTTCAGTTTTCTCTTCCATAAACTGGGTTAGCTCAGACTTATTCTTAAGGGAAACAGAGGGATCCTAGAACACAGCAGATTAAAAAAAAAAATAAAAAATCCAAGGGATCCCATCCCTTCTCCTTGATGTGGTGCACTTGGCTCCAAGAATGTCCCATGTCCAGGGCTGCAGGAGTGAGCAGGGGGAGGGTGATGGTCCCATTTCCTGGTATATCTAGGCTACCACCTCTGGGAAATAAGCAGGTTTCCCAGTTTAGCAACATTGGATTTCAGGTCGACAAGATCCTGGGCAGGCTGACAGAGAGGCAAGCGGGGCTGCCTCATTAGAATGCAGCAGGTGTGTCCACTCTCGGCTTGGGATGCTGGTCACGGTCCCCAGGAGGCTAAAAATAGACTGTGTCAATTGTACACTCCCGTGCAGGCTGCAGAGTCACCTCTAAAGCCAAATAAGTCTCAATGCATGTAGCTGACCCCAATATTGACTCCATTTAAATATGTTAAGGAGAGAAAAACTCCTAACCCGTCCAGGATTGTCCACAGCAATGGTCATAGGGCCCAGCACCCTTAGCTGTCATTCACCTAATTCCTAGCTTCCCTTTTCCATGAGATACCTGAGTCTCTTTCCTCAACAGCCACCTTATGAAGTATCTACCACATGCCACACATTGCATAATGCAAAGAGACAAATGAATTCGGGGGCCTTCAACTTCAATAGACACGGGTCTTGGGGACAAAGAGATGACTATCAGCCAATCACTGGTTCCAAAGGCTGCCATCCCATCTTGGCCTTCTGCAGAGAAAACTTGTCTTCTTCTAACTATGAGCTAATACATGAACTGTGTCCCAGAAGGCTGCGAGTCAGCAGGAAAGAGTAATGACTTTCAATCTTAGGGCATTCAGCTTTGTGGAGTGTCGCTTTTAATTCCACAAATACCTATGGCACTTCTGCTCTAGCAGGACACTGGGTGGATCCTGTGAAAGAAACAGACATATGGGAACTGTAACCTCTAAAGACTCTTTTTTTTTTTCTAGACCCTAAAACACACAACAACTCCATAGAAGCTAGAATAAGGTGTAGTCTGAAAAAGAAGTTCAAGGAAATTGTTCAGAGGCTGCAAAAAGAGAAAGAATTTACTTTAACTCAGAGAGTCAGGAAATCCCGGGACAGCTGGCCCAGGGTTGGCTGGGGACCTTGGGTAGGTGAATTCTAGGAGGAGAGGATGCTTAGGCAAATGGTGAAGGGGTGGGAAGGCAGTGAGCTTATTGGGAACAGCTTGGCTGTGATAGCGGGGGATTCATTCAGTTGAAAGAAAAATCAGGCCAGGTTAAGAGGTTGTAGTTAAAGACAGAAGGCCATGGGAGCCTTGCCCCTTCACGCAGGGAGTTCTCTGTTTGAGCCCTACTTCAGGAAGATGGATACCAGAGCAGCACGCAGGAGGGGACAGGAGGAGAAAGGAGGAGAGGGACTCGGGTCAGGGAGACCAGGGATGCATTTAGGAGGTGATTTTCAAAGTCCAGTCAAGACCTCATGAGAATCTGAACTGCTCTGCCCGCCAGGGAAGTGCAGAAAGAGAATCTGCAGGAGTTGGCAACTGATGGAACGTGGGGGAGAGAGAGAGGAGCTGGAATCAAAGATGACTTCCACGTTTCAAGCCTGGGTGAGTAGGGAAATGGTGACATTAACAGAATACGCAAGTCAGCGGGAAGAGCAGGTGGGGGTGGGGGAGACGATGAGTTTCAATTTGGATGTGTGGCGTCTGAAATGTCATCAAGTCCTATAAGACAAGATGTCTAGCAAGCAGATATTAACACAGTGCCAGTCGATAAACACCAGGAACAAAATCGAAAGGCAAATGACAAACTGGGAAGCACACCCTCACGTGTGACAAAGGTTAATACCCTCTATATGGAGAGAGCTCCTAACACACCTGTAAGGAAGAGAGGAACACCGCCAATTTAATGTGGACTAAGGGTCTGGGCTTGATTCATACAAGAATAAATATAAATGGCAAATTAACATGCAGGGGAAAAAAAAAACCTCACCAGCAGTCAGGTAAATTCAAGACAACAACCACCACAAAATGCAAGTGGTCCCCATAAAAACTGTAAGGTTTGTTAAAAAAAAAAAAAAAAAAGCAGTTGCCCTCATCCACTTCCTGTGGGACTGTAAATAGGTCAAGACTTTTAGGAAGTCACTAAAAAAAATTTTTTTAAACACAGATCCTTTAACCCATAATTGCATTTTAAAATTTATCCTAGAGCATTGTAATAATCATATATATGTAGTTACAAAAATTTCATGATGGTGTTGTTCATAATGGCAGAAAATAGTTAACTTTGATGCTCCACAAAACAGAACTGATTAAGTCCATGAGGGTGTATTCCACAGTAGAATGTTATGCAGCCATTAAAAATGTCATGGGAAGAGTGTCTAATAACACAAAGATGGAGTGCAGTAAATTGTTGGTTGAAGATGACAAGCACAATAGGGAAAGACTGTGTGACTGCGTTTTAGCCACTAAAACCTGTTCCTGCCTGTGTGCGAAGAGGGGAGATTCAGAGAAGGCACCAGAACTGGCAGTGACTAATGCAGAGAGTTGGGCTAAGAACAATTAATTCTTTGTTCTTGTGCTTGCTTAATATTTTCTGAAACAGATGCCATTAATATGGTACCACTCTTTGTAAATAGCAAAGAATAATAATATTGAAAAAGAAAAGGAAAAAAGTTACCCTAGATCTTTGGAGAGAAACTGAGGCTGGGACTCTGGTTTGGAAACTATTTCTGGGGATGGGGTCCTGAAAGTGTGCCTGTGGGAGAGGCGCCAAGTGGAGGTGGGGAGTGGGAGTGAGGATGGGCCTAGGAGAGAAGCCAGAGTTCTTGTCCTACGAGGACCTTGGAGTCACCTGGAGACCCAGGGAGAGAGGCGGGGGGACAGGGAGACAAACCACAAAGTGGGGAGGAGGCGTCCTCATTCCTCCAGCCCCGTGACTGACCCTCCCTTGAGGTCGTGCAATCCAAGCATGGCACCCCTGTGTTCAGCAAAGTGCTCCAGGACCAAGTGGACCTTCATTCAGGGCCCTCTGAGCCTCCTCTACCCAGGGTGACAGTGAGCTCAGAAGGCAGTGCAGAGCCACCCTGAATGGTGTACATGAAGCTGGCCTCAATACTGACTCCATTTAAATATGTTAAAAGAAAAGAAAAACTCCCAGCCAGTCGAAGCATTGTGCGTGGTCAGGGTCACCAGGCCTCCTGCCACCCTTAGGGGTCATTCAACTCTGATTCCATGATCCCCTTTTCCAGAGTCTCCTTCCCCAACAGCCAAATTACAAAGTATCTATTGTGTGCCACACATTGTACCTTTAAGGCCAAGGGATGAAGGGATCGGGGAAGATGGACTTCAATAGCCGCAGGCCACAGAGACAAAGAGGTGACTGTCCCAGGCCAGTCTCTGTTCCCAAAGGCTGCCAGCCCCAGCTCCGTCTCCTAGAGGGGACCTGTCCCTCTGTGCCTGGGCTGTTAGGTATGTCCTCTCCCAGAAGTCTTCTCCAGAGTGGGAAGGGGAAGCGGCCCAAGCCTTCAGCTACAAATGCCTACTGAACGCCTACCACAGAGAGGCAGGGTGCCGTTCCTGTGGAAGAAACCAGAGATGCACAGGACCCCTAGAGGTTGCCATGTAGACAAATAGGAACCAGTGCAGGGATCCAGACATCTACTATAAAAGACGGTTCCACTGCCAATGAAGGTCCTTGGAGGGGATCTGAAAGCTTGGCTTTTGGCTCATCTGTCTGCCTACCCAGGGTCCTGGGAAGACTTGAAGAGCACATGCAATGGTTTGGGCAAGGCCCAGGGTCTCATCTGCGATATCAGAAGGCCCGTTTCCTCCCTGGGCCTCACTGGACAACCAGAG